AGCAATCTAGAAGTCCCAATTTTTTAAAATAAAAAACTCATTTTGGGAGTAGAGGACTCCTCTCCCATACCCAACCCCTCCCATACCGCGGATCCGTTCGGCCCTCGGATAACGCTGTGCGCTATAGTTACACCCATAAATACTTAGCCCCCCCCCCCCCAGTAAGGACATAGTCGGACACCTTAGCCCCCCCCCATAAATTATATTCTAGAGCCGCCACTGTGTATAGGGCTAACAAAATCTATAAGATTTTACATGCCTCTCATTGTGTTTGAAAAAAGTGGAGGATATTCTTCTTTTTAACCATTTTATTATAAATACGTAAGTCAATGAGAGTTCTAGTTTGTCGACAATGTTGTTGTATAGGCAAGATATACAGACAGCATACGTTTCCGCTTACGTTTCTTATGAAAAGTTGACTTGGAGTCAACTTTTCATAAGAATCGTTTGCAACGCAACGTATGCGAGTTCATTCAACAAAAAGTGACTAAATCGCGGTTTCCTGTCAAATAGTGAAAAATCGACGTATCACATGAAAATTCAATACGTCGGTTTCCTGTCCAAAACTGTTTTGCGACGATTTTAGTTTACGTTACGTCGATTTCACAACGCACCAGTCGTAATCGGTTTCCTGTCAAATCGCATTTTCTTACGATAAAACGACGTAATCGTAAGTAAATCTGCCTTCTTACGTCGACAGGAAACCAGGCTTTAGGCGCGATCTACAAATTATCCCCAACGACAGAAACGCGTATGGGAAAACCATGTATTACAAACGCGTCTGGGAAAGCGATCGTCCAATTATCGTGCCTCATGAATATTAATAAGCTAGTCGGAATATGTCCCAGACGCGTCTAAACGGGTTTGTGCTGTTGAACGCGTTTGCCATTGTTTCTATTGTTTTGGGCGACAAACGCGTCTGTGTCGTTAGACCAGGCCCCGGTTGAACTACCGTTTTTGTACAATTTAAAATACTGAACAAGTTTTACTTTGAAATGAACCAAGTTCAAAGTTTAAAGGCTGCATAGTTCTAATAGTTAAATTAAGTGGTAATGACGATAATGGCAGCACATGCATGTAGGCCTAAGTGCCGTTTGCTCTGTCGGAAAGACCTATCTTCGTTAAATAGCAGCCTACCAGTTAAGAAGCTGACGACGAACGAAAAAACATTTATCAACTCCCTGCACACATATCATATGGGAACACAAATGGACGCCAGTATTCGCCAAACATCATTCAATAAACTATAGAGAAAATAGAACATCTATTTTCTCTATTACTAAACGTAGGCATCAATATATATTATATACAGCAACTAGGCCTATGCACCTACTGTACAATTAATATTGGGTACCTCGTGTGTGTGGATGTGATCAGTTCAACAGAGTACGCAACATCACGTGAC